TAAGAAATCAGTGTTAAAAAGAAAAAGATACTATTAGTTTAATAGACAAACTATAGAAATTACAAGAATAGGTGAGAAAAATAAATGAAGTATTGCACAATTTCTTCCGCAAATAATTTAAGCACGTTTACAGTTTTATTAGTCATAAAAGCTTTCGGAATCGCAATTTATGTCAATCATAATTCATCAATTAACGATTAAAAAAATATATCTTAAGGATGTCACTTAGTAATTTTTCTAGCTATAGTTTTTGTTTTTTTAAACTGATTATATCATTTTGTTCGGTATATTTTTATGTATGTGATTTGTTATATCACATTGTTACCAATGATAAATACAAGTTGAATGTACGTAGAGTTTAGACAAATTTGTTAATAGTATCATAATTAGTGAGACAATAAAGTAGATCATATTCTGAATGGCTATACGTAATACTATGGCTTATTTTAGTAAAACGTTGATCAATTTATTTCTAAATAATAATAGAATTAATAATTAGATCTAATTGGCCGGTCGGTGTACACAATCATTTTTAATTTACGATTATAATTATCTGTACATATGCAATGAGATATTAAATTTAAATATCTTTATGCACCTAGGTGCAAATACTTAGAAATAAATATAAAAATATCTTCCTTGTTGTTGTCCAAAACTATCTAAGATATCAATATTGTGCATTACTTTTCTACGATGATAATATCTTCATTTTATCTTAAGTAGAATAAAAATATTGTACTATTCCGAGATATATAATTTGCATTAAAAAGCATTAGTGGTTAAGTTAGCTACGCTACATTAAACTCATTAACATTTGGGGACCATTGGGACCATAATTCTTTCTTAGGTAGGGATTAGCTAGCTTTTAAAATTTAATTTATAATTAGTCCTTGGAAAAATTGAGTTGAGAAAGGTACTTTCTAGCTCTCGAGAAATAACTTAGCTAGAAAATACTAGAAATTGGAGAAATTATCAAACTTTTATGCTAAAAAATCTGCAAATGTGAGCCAAAACTAGTTGAA